ATTTAAGAACTGCTGATCGTATGTACAATTAGCTTCGTGAGAAATATGCATTCACAATAGAGTTGAAGAGTATCAGTGATTTTATTAGTTGATATCAAGAGCACATCACAGGGCAGCGTGAAAGTAGTTAGATATGCAACACGATGAATCATTTTCAGTATCGAGTTAATGCTCTGAATAATGTTTAGTTTGCATTAGCATATCAGTACTTCCACCAGTGAAACAATATACTTGAAACCTCAAAGCAATAATCTAGTTGGATAGAAAGTCAGTCAGCATCAACATTATCTAATTACTGTGATTTACTGACTGAATGAGATGTGGAAGACTTCTGTTTTACTAGCAACGTTGACTGATTGCATGCGGAACTTGCAAGTGGTTAATTTGTGAATTGCTCCAGTGACAGAATTCCTGAATGTCTATTACAGCTTGGCAGTTACAAAGATTACCAAATGTTGGTGTAAGTGTCCATGAAGTGGAAGAACGGCTTTCGAATTTGCAGAACGAGATCTAGGTGTACTGAATGTTGGAATTCAGAGAAGTTAGTTGATGGTAAATGTTGAGAGGTGCTGAATCGGATAATGTGAGGAACACAAGTTGTGATTACATGGGAAATTCGAAATTCGTGTATTGCCACCTCTGGTGATTCTGCATGCAATATCCATACTTTAATCGAGTCCCTCACCTGAATATTTTACACAACTTTTCAAAATTCGAAAACACTCATGTCATTATTAGCGAAATTCCCTGCCGACAAGACATCGGGTTAACTAGAGGATGTTTGCAATTTCGCTTCCATTATTCTACTGACCCCAATCTTCACTTCCTATTCAAGTAGAATTTTTCGTGGATTCGAATTAGGTACTTGATGGACAGACTTTGAGACGATCACCCTAATTCGGTACACAGGAAGGCGATTGCTCATGTGAATATCACAAGTGAAATAGGAACCGTCTCATGCATTGGTCACCGAGCCAAACAGTATCCACAATATCTGAACTCCATTCGCTTTCGAAACGATCAAGTGCTAAGACAATGATAAATTGGTTTCAGAGTCTTCCATCGATAAACATGTGACAATATAACCATAGATATATTTGTTTATCTTGCCAAGGTGGAAGCTGTTGTAAAATCTCCGCTAATAGGACAATCAATGCTTTTTTAGTAACATCATTTAATAAGGCAATCAGAAACCTATTACATATTCAATGAATGAAGCAGTATTCGAATTCTTGCGTTTCCGAATAGCTTCAATTCCATCGTATACATTCTGTGCTTGCATTAACTATACTGTTTATGACAAACAGAAAATTAGAAGGCAAAAGCCAACCCATACGATCACTGAGGTCTCATGAGTTTCACTTCAATTATGTAGGATTTCTGTAATTTCTGTGAAGTCAACGTGCATCAGTCAGTGACACAAATGTGAGCAGTGTTGGTCATGTGTACAGTTAGCCTCGTGAGCGACACACATTCAGAATGGAGTAGAAGAGTGTCAGTGATTTTATGAGCCGAAATCAGGCGCACATTACAGGGCAGCGTGAATCAAGTTCAATATACAACTTGATGATGAATCATTTTCAGTATTGATTTAGTGCTCTGAATAATGATTAGTTCACTTCCCACCCTCTCCCTTACTCATAAACAAAAGGCAGTCTCCTACATTACTCCTCATCTATATTGTTGGTAATAATTCAGACAGTGTTAGTTCAGAATTTATGTAGATGACGTGAATCACTTTATTCAAACGGGAATAAAGCTAGACCAATATGTGTGATTAGTGTACAGACATGAGAATGTGTGTTTTGTAGTGTTATTTATGGAGATATAAAAGTCCAAAACATCGTTCTTGTAATTTTTTTAAGTTTTTGTTTGTTCTCGGGGTGCCATCCCCTCCAAAGTAAGACATAGCATCTGAGATTTCGTCACTGCTAGCCTCGCTGCACTTGAAATTTTACTGTATCTTGACAATGACAGGTCAAAATCGACGGCTATATCTAAACTGCTTTGCAAAACGTAAGTGACAGAGGTCAGATCAGAAAGTGTAAGCGTCTTACCAAATGAAATGAAAAGTAGTGTTTCCTTTTTCATAGTCTCTTTTCCCCGGAACTTCCGACTGCTGAGAAGGTGTTCTGCATCAGATAAGAACGCCCATTCCTAATATGTTTGTGACTGGATTAAAAATATTCTTGAGAAATGTTCATGTGTGAAACGAAGAGACACTTCGTCGACCTGGCATATAATCTCTTAATTAAACAGGTGTTGACTTGTAAAATAAGTAAGATAATCACAAGTTGTTTTGGGGATCTCAACAAAACTCATTAATAATGGGTAACAGGTGCCTTTATGCTGCCATATAGTCTTCGTTTCCCATGAACCAACTCCTTTTCCCGCGACTATTTAACAGTATAAGACCACACACTCACATTTGCATCAGTGATCATACCCCGTGAGATTCGGTTGTCGACCAGAATACGTTGTCATCAGATAACTCGATTGGAATCCAATATTTATCAACTTATATTACTAGCATCAATTTACTAAGTAGCAGCCACCATCCAATATCGTCTGTGAGTAATTCTGGTTATCTTGGATTTGGTTTGTTTCACACGAAGTTTGCAGATTCGCCCTGTTCGTCGGTTGAAGTTAGGTGAATAAACGCACCTTGATTCTGTACGTATGTCTGAAATGCTCAGCACACATGGATGACCTAAAATGCCAAAGTTTTGACTAGTGAAGCTTACTGACAACGTTTAAGAATGATGGGAACATCGTAAGCTCCAATGGATGATTTGGAGCATAATTTCAGGTGACCGGCGATGTCGTCCCGTGCACTCTTCACGAGCTAAACAACTGTAAGTAGTCAAGGATGACACAGGTCTGTTGACTGTGAATGTCAGGAAATATTAGAATGTGTGTATGTTTATGGTCGATGATGATAGGATTTTACATGCATGATGATAGAATTGTGAGGGTGGATCAGACTTCTCGACTCCCCAATCTGTGAGAGGTTATTCCTTCAGGGGTGCCTGAGAAAGAATAGTTGATGAATGACCTCAGTTCTCGGTGGGTCATCCACTTCAGACTAGTCACAATTAGACGTTTTAGAAATTTTAGATTATATTCGATATTTTCTCACCTCGATGAATGAACGCATACCACTGGCACTGGTAGGCCACAGTGGAGAGTGGAGTGTTCTCTTTTCATGCCTTACCCATTCTAACCCACCCCCTATTTCATGGGGAACGCAGCATGAGCGTGTTACTGGTGGTAACCTTACCACTCACCAAGTTACTCCATCCAGTCAGCAGTGTGAATCCGCCCAGTATCCCCATCATACCATTGCAATTTACCTTAATTCGGTATCTTCTTTTTATCTTGCCACCAGCCAACAGACCGTTCTTTCCTAGTAGGACATGTGGTGAACAGCAGTTCCACCCAGTGTATCTCTTTGGCTCATTGTCATATGCAAGTGTGATCAACAAGCCAAGATAGCATCTATTTGCCAAGAATAACCTGAAAGTCAAGATCTGGAATTCGGCCACGTCTGTGTGTGTATATCAGCTCACCGGCTCCTGTGAAACTACGCATGTTGGTCGTATGTCGCCAGTCATGTTTAAGGGGTTTCAAGATCCCTCTCCTGTGTGGATATGAAGAGGTAGCAGTTGGTCTATGAGAAATGTGATAACGGAACACCTCATCGACTGCGGTTTTTCAGTCTCAACAACCACCTATATAAAAGATTTTATAAAGTAAACATAAACTTGAAATTTTGGGTCGTATTCGTTTTCTTTTTTATGCTGAAGCGTATCATTCAAAGAGAAAAGCTGGAGCTTCACATACACAGTGATTTTGTTCAGCCCCTTCATCTTTCTCGGTCTAAATAAACAGCATCTCAAAACACCACTCTTCTGATTCTCTTATTCTACCCATTTCGTACATATTATCGAGTATTCCCTGTTTCTTCACTAACCAACATGACAACATATTCATCAAATATTTTCTCATGCTACTCAACTTGCTATTTAGACTTGATCATCTTCGAGACAAATGGGGATACTATTTTTATGATAGTGTTCATCAGAGATTGGTAATATTTGAAGAACCATTGAAAAATCGAGAGGGCTAGGCAGCTGTTTCCTCCTGGCATGAGACTCCTCAGTAATAAGCGCACACGACCACGCCAGGGATAGGAATAGGAACCTTCGAATTTCTCACGGGAAGCAGTGACGTGTGAGGTCAAGCAGTCAGAAATGAATTGGATGCCAACCGAAAACCTTGGTGGATGGTCACGTTATATTGCAAATTGACAGAAGTGGGAGATTGTGGACCGAAGATCTGTGACCCAGTGGGTGAATGGTCAACGCGTTCGCTATGAATCCTGTCAGTGATAATCGTACTAGCTTAATCCTCTTCACTAAATTTCAATGACACCTTGAATAATACCCACAAATCAAAATTCCTCTGCTTTTTCAGCTCACAACAACTCTATTCTCGTGGTTACTATGCCTTTTGAGAAAGTTTCAAAATTCATAAACATTTGATTACTTTTCTGATGAAAGTAATACTTGGATGTTAACAAATAACAGTAGTCATAAGAGTAGAATTAATTAACTCATGCGTAGATAAATCTTTGCATTAAATATTTCAATAATTCATTGTTGTGTTATATTTAGAGTTTAAGTTCTTATACAGAAGATTTGGAATTTGTAGAAATTTCATCTCAATAATTATCACAAACCAACAGTGGTATGTTGTTGTTTTTGATGATTATAATAATAGTGTTGCTATTTGATGACGTAAAGGCTCATTGACAACAAAATGCGTTTCGCATAAGTAGATGTCTTACCGTCATGTATGCACATGCTTTTACAAACCACATGGCTTTCTCATATATATATATATATATATATATATATATATATATATATATATATATATATATATATATATATATATAAAGAGATTTTCTAAATGGGTTTCACAATTTCACTTCAGTCATGATGCTGTTATACGCTTTGCCATTATTACTTATCACCAGTGTGACGGGATCTGGAAGTAAGTCAATCCACACTTCTTTCTACTTCTTGCTTCCATCATATTATCTTTTTGACTATCTGAGATTGCTATGATTTGGTATTCTGGTATCGATACTGGGTGATGATTGAAGATGAAATGAAAATTCGAACCATGGCAGGATTAGAGCTAGCGACAACTGTGTAACACAATGGAAGTTTGTCTGGTTGACAAACTTTCAGCTTGCTTGTCTACAAAACGTTGACTTCACGAATTTTATGCATGGCTCCTGAAGACAGTATATCTAGTGTGAAGATGCTTTACACTTGAAACTGGATGCATTCGAAGCATATTACTCTGTTTGACTAACCAGGACGGTTATAATTCCTGTGAGGGGGCGTGCAGCGACACTCAATTAGGAAGATGATATTTCGGAAACAGCATTCGGTTGATTCTTATTATTTTTGCCATGATTGACTTATTCCTTATTATCAATATACTTTTCATTCTCTTGATTTTCATTTCATTTTTATCACCTTCACCGTGACTATGATTATTATTATTATTACTATCATCAACATCATCATCAATTCCATTAACATTACTATCTCTCTCCTCACAGTTCACTGCCAATCATTACATCAACTGATTTCAACACCAGCATCAGCACCACCACCACCACCACCACCTACAACAACAACAACAGGTGCTTGTACTGTGAAAGCAGTGCTTCGTGAAATGTCCTTCCTCATTATGGTCAAGCACTGACTGATTGCCTCAGAATTTCTTACATCAGGATTCTACTGAATGCAGTTCCGTGGACTGCTGGCGTGTTATGCTAGACGTCTAGCCGTCACATTAAGTAGTCTGATGTGGATTGATCACACAGGCGTAGCTTCGTTCATCTGTATTCATTCGTTGCATGTTGAAGATAGGTGAGAAATCCTGCTCCATCCAGGTTTGTCTTCAGCTCAAGTAGTATTACAAATTCTATTAGAACTACGAAATGTTAGATATGTGAAAAATCAACGAAGTCGGTTGAGAGAAGCAGGTAGCACTTGACTGTTGGAACTGGTTTTCTATGGTTGATGTTGCCCACACAGCACATGTCGATCAACATCAAAATTTGTGATACGATTCCTTACAAGTAGTAATGGGAGGGATAAGGCAAATCGCTTGCCGAATCATTGTACTATCTGCACGTACAAGTGGGACTCCTGGATTCATGCAAGTGACGGTCCACTGTAGCTTGAAATGAGAAACGAATCGAGTCGAATTGAGTCAGCTGAGCCTAAATCATTGGTAGCAGAGATGCATGGTCTTCACTTGCTACACACACTTTGTTCAGATATGTCTCAGTATTGACTCTTCTATGCCTCTGTACCTATTTACCAAACCCGTTCAAAATAGATCCTGAAATGTGTTCAGGAATCAGCTATGTGAAGTTTAGGCGAACTCAGTGTGTTCAAAATCAATTTGTTGCAATATTGCACATTCCTTGATGAAGTTATCACTGAAACCGAGGTCAATGTATTTTCAGTTCCACTCACTTGACTGTCATTTCTTCTTCGCCTTTCAATTTAGACTTCATACTAAGCCTCTTCTCCTCATATACTCACATACTTCCTCTTAACACCTTATCAAACAAATGCCTATGACGACAAGGATGTGTTTGATCAGATTGTTCCAAATATGTGGCGTGAACACATAACTTGGTTCAGACAAACTGCATCATCTTACTGATTTGTCAATGTTATGCTTTTGTCGACTTCAGATTATTTTCGAAGTGAAATGATGCACGTTTTGTAATAGCATAGCAGTTGTTGTGAATGATACTAAGAGTAGGGCTCATTGCTGATCGTAATACGATACCCTTATACTTGCATCAACTTCAGACTGCTTCCGAAGTAAATCAGTCTCAAACTATCACCTATCACACCACTCTCACCTGCTTCAAACAATCAATCAAAATTGAAATTTTATTAAGTTCACAAATACATCTTAAATAATGATCTCTTGATTTCGATGTTTCAATATTGGTGTGTAATTCTACCTCTGAATAATTGGTTGCACTCTGTTGAGTTAATATTGAGAGTCGTTATATCACAAATAAGCTGTGGTTAATGCAAGTATAACACAGGTGAAATATAATATTTGTGACGGTTTCCTCTACATGTCATGTCGCACGTTCATCCTGACCAGTGAATATTTATTCATAGATTATATAATGTGATTATATATAATCCCATATTAGATGGCGTTTGCAGCAATCTTCTTGAGCTGGCGAATGCGACAATTATTGTTATGATTATTTAGATACCATGCTGCTCATTCCGTGATCAGACAAGTAAAGATTTTATACTTGCCCATAAATCTGTTCTCTTAATTTCTATACTGTTGATCTGAAAGAAGGCGTACACTAAGATAGATTTTGGATGGTTGTAGGCAGTCTGTTGAAAAACTCTATAGGTCTCGTATTTGTCATCATATTGTATCTGCAACCTTAATTGAATCGATGTTTTTTATTAGATTCCAGCTGGTGACACCCAGTGCTTGATTCAGATATGCAGCGTATCAGCGGATATCAGTTCCGTCGAGGGTGCAGATACACTCTGATGATTACTGCCGTAGAGCACGGAATTAAGTCAAAGATATTGCAGCAGATTGTTTGGCACCGCTCAAAATCAATCGAAGTGCACTGTGGTGCTGAGACCCCTGCCTTGGTCACCAAAAGTAAAATTACCACTAGAATTCGGTCAGCGCACAGAATTGGACACCATGAGATTAATTACTTTACAGTGACCAACCAATGTATGCATTAAGCTGCCTCATAAACTATGTCAACCTCAAGAGTGATCTTGCTGAAACGCCAGCACCATTACTTCATTATATGTACGAGTCTCATAAACAATATTGTTGCCATCTAAGTCTCTTCATGATACTCAACAAATACTATCTTAATTCCGTTTCACATCACATCACGCTGAGGAGCTAAATACATGCACACACACACACATAGTTGAAGACATTTATTGATAATATTCCAAAGTTGTTGTACGTAGTGTCTGTGTGACGTGAGGATGACGCCTGGTCGACAGTGTGTGTTGAATTTGTCATTTACAAGTAGATGGGGATAATACACACACATACATTTCTTCTATAACCAGTTTTTATCCAGTAGAGGAGGATAGTATTTCTCATTGGAATGATACTTTGCTCACGTATTGAAGGAAGGATAAATTTCCTTACTGTAGATATGCCGCGCTGTCACAAAACAAAATATGCAATAGCGAGTTTTAATGCATCACGTTATGTTGGAAATGTGTATTTCACAGTAAAAGGCAATCAAATGTCAATAAAGGGAGAGGTGAGAGGTTTGCCAAGTGGACGCAAATTGGGTGTGCATATCCATGAATATGGTACGATAGCTAATGGCTGCAATCTCGCTGGACCGCATTTCAACCCATTCAACAGGTAAACAATTTATGAAATACTTTCATGTACTTCGCTGAACATTACATGAGAAACAGACATATTTGATCGATACTGTTTTCAATAGACTCTTATCAGGCTTCACTCTGATTTACGTATATCTCCTCAGATATAAGAAGTCTAACCAATCTTGTCTCGATAGACAAAGCAATTCCATATGATGAGATTTAATTGAAAACAAGATTGTTCAATCATGTGTCATCTTTCAGATTTCACAATGCGAAATTTTAGCCTTGTTAAATATTTCACTCTAGCATTTGACCCCATGTAATTGACACAAATCACCATCACATTGTCAGTGACGTCTTCTAAACCACACATGGATTTCAAACTTTGAATAATGTTATAACTTATGTATTAACTAAATTAAATTGCACGCGAGAATCGATTGTCGTCAAGATGATGTTTATCTCCTATGTGCAAATCACATAAATGTAAACACGGCACATTACATGAAACATTGTAGTCACATGATCTCAGCTACTCAACTACTCCTGATCAAATGAATTCATTCTTTCATCACGACTGACCAACAAATCAGACTGACTATCAGATTGCTGGATGAAATAACCCTCTCCCATTCTAACTGGTGCTCCTCTTAGCATTAGTATTTCATGGTCATGACGTGAGATTGAAGTCGACTGAATGGAAATCAGAGTAGTTGACTGCAGCAGCAAACGAAGAAGATGGTATAAGTGTTGATTTGATCAGGGAATTTCTTTCACACACTGGTCACACAATCAGCAGATGTGTATTGGTATGAAAGTGGTGATTGTCTGTTGACCAATTATCTTTTGTTTACTTGGATAAATTTCAGTAACCATGGTGGACTGACAGGCTCACCAAGACATCCCGGTGATCTCGGAAATATCCAAGTAGATAGCACTGGCACTATGCATTTCGGTGTGAAACTTGATATTTCTCTTTTGTGGGGATATGATGCATTTCTCGGAAGAACAATCGTCATACATGGTGGCGAAGATGATTTGGGTCGAAATGACAATGATGCGAGCCGCACAACAGGCAATTCAGGTGGTCGCTTGACGTGTGCAGTGATTGGTGTATGGAAAGCATAGTTTTCGATGTGATTCTTTCTCCTCGTATATTTGCAGGATAATAACTGTGGATGTTAATATCAGTGAATACCTTTGGATTTCTTACTGTAGTAATTTGTAGTGATTTAAATAAATAATTTAGAATGACATGGTTGTTGGTGTTTATTTGGCAACTGGATGGAAAATAATAATCAGTGTGGAACATGTGGAATGACGAAGTCAGTTTTCCATTCCACCGTTTCAATCTTCATCTCAGGCAGACTTTCGGAACCTCCGATTTCACAAAATACTGTTTCGAAGCATTTCCTATCGGTACGGAGGCATTAGTGAATTCTCTGCCAACAGGATAATTAATAACACTAATTAATAAGGCAATCAGAAACCTATCACATATTCAGGGAATGAAGCAGTATTCGAATTCTTGCGTTTCCGAATAGCTTCAATTCCATCGTATACATTCTGTGCTTGCATTAACTATACTGTTTATGACAAACAGAAAATTAGAAGGCAAAAGCCAACCCATACGATCACTGAGGTCTCATGAGTTTCACTTCAATTATGTAGGATTTCTGTGATTTCTGTGAAGTCAACGTGCATCAGTCAGTGACACAAATGTGAGCAGTGTTGGTCATGTGTACAGTTAGCCTCGTGAGCGACACACATTCAGAATGGAGTAGAAGAGTGTCAGTGATTTTATGAGCCGAAATCAGGCGCACATTACAGGGCAGCGTGAATCAAGTTCAATATACAACTTGATGATGAATCATTTTCAGTATTGATTTAGTGCTCTGAATAATGATTAGTTCACTTCCCACCCTCTCCCCTACTCATGTGTGTTTGAAGTGAATAAACTCGGAACGATGGATGTCAAGCGGAATTATAGATGATGCATATGAGCTTGGCATTCGACTCGATATATGTGTACTTCTCGTGTTTGGGGAAGTATGCTGTCTACTGTATTGAAATTTAACAACTTTCGAATGTCTTACCTTGTTAACATTCACTGCCACCACACTAATACTAATATAGACTACCCGAACTTCATGAAATACCACCAACACTAGATATGCATACATGTCTTGTCGTCTGTGATGTAAATTAATACAAATTTCGTCAAACATTCTGATCTCTTTATATTTCATGAAAATAAATAAATAAACAAAAGACAGTCTCCTACAGTACTCCCCATCTATATTGTTGGTAATATCTGTTGGGTTGACGTTATGCACCATATAAAAACGGTCCATTGACCTGGCTTTTTCACTCTTTTTCAAAAACAACTTGTTTATTTATAATACAAGTAATATGATCACATGCTGCTTCACGGTTCTCAACCAAACTCATTGCTAGTCGACATCCCATGACTTTATGCTCCCACATCGTCTTCGTTTCCCGTGAACCAACTCCATACGACCAACGAGTATTTGACAGTTCGGGAATTCTCATCTGCATAGAGTTAGTCCGCAGCTGAACTCCATTGTTTACAATTTTCATATATTATCAACATATATTTGAATTGCACATCAATGAAGTCGGTGAAATTGAGGGATGGAGAAGATATGTGAGAGTGAAGTGTTCAATCTTAAGGTGAAATTCATCCACTTCTATCTCGTCTCCACGAAGAATTTAATCCGATGGATCTGCATCTGAAAAGCAATGAGAAGTCCAGCAGTGAGTACCATAATTCTCGACAAGCATGTATCTTGCTTTTCGAAGTGAAAACAGGCGACGAATCCTGCTTCGTATCAGTGTGGACTGTAACATCACTTGTATCAAAATAGACATCACTCCGTTCTCCATCACGAAGTGATCAAGGAACAACATCAAAGAAATCAGTTGAAATAATAATGCTGACTGATTGTCAGACTATATATTTATTGATCACTAGAGGGCAATCAAAATCCTGTTTTCTAGTCCTATGTGCTAATCGAATTATATAGACTATCTTGCAATGTGATCACCGGGATATGAGACTCATAATCACGATGCAGTGAGAGAGATGTTAGTTTGTAGGAGGCGAACAGCAGGAAACTGTGAACCTTGGTTTCGTGTTTCTCGGCACTCATCAACAAGGCTAATCAGAAATCTCGTTGGTAGTGATGTCCCACCTGAGGTTCTAAACTGTGTCACTTAGTGCTCCAGACGATTTGTAATTACTTCAAAAACAATCATCATCATCATCAGTAGTGGATATTTTCCACATTGCCTGAATGTGCATTGCACAGAGCAGTATATATTTCGACTTAGCTGATAGATATTTTCTGTTCCCCTCAAAAAATGTTTTTGGTGATGGAAATATTCGTTTTGAAATTGAGGAGATATGGGACTACCCGATAAGGTGCTATGAAAATCAAACATTGAGATAAGTCACCTTTGTAACATCCTCTAATAGACAATTATCTATACAAGAGGAAACACAGCGCCTAAGCAGTTTAAATAGTTTGTGTTCACGCCTGAAATCAAAGTGGATACATTTTGTAGAATTAAGCGTAACAGCATTCATGGAGGACTATTGTGGTAGATTAGATGGGAAACTTGGCATTTGGGAACAATCAGTTGAAGAGGAGACAGGTATGGAATCTGTTAAGTCATTACCACTGGCATAAAACTTATGCTATCTGAAGACGGTATGTCACGTAGAAAAAAGGGAGAATATTAGGGGAGAGAACGTCATCTTGGAGGACACCAGTGTCAGTAAGCAATGGGGTGGGGTGCTTCTCTCTGTGGACAGTATATGCTTTCCCTTCAGGATCCGGAAAGTTTCATTGTTAGCTTTCGCAGTAAAAGAGGTCTTGGGAAAGAATTATCTGCTGAAGTATAGTCTGAAGAAGTACGCCCGACATACTGGGCATTTCTGTCAAGAATATATGCAATATTGTGATATAAGACATTGCCGGAACCCAGTGTGCCTCTTCTTCTTTTGTATGCAAGCTGATTAAGACCTTGAAAAACCTTCAAAGAAGATTCGAGCACAGGTATTGGTAACTTCTGCATTATTTTCAAGAACGAATTGGTAACTTCAGTGTGACGGAATTTCAGAGATCCCCTCGGAGTCACCGACTTCAACACTGGGACAATCCTAATATCTTTTCCGGCACCTGGTATATTGTTTCTGTAAACTATCTATTCAGCATGTTAGTTGATGCCTGGCCTAGTTTATCAGCACTCTTCACCAGAATATGAACCTTGACGTGATATCTTGACTTAAACTGAATGAAGTTGTCGGAGTTTTGAAATACTTGAAAACGTGTTTCTCGGTGAATTTTGGTCAACATTCTTCATTGGAAACCTAGGGACAGAGTGGGATGGAACAGTCGGGTTGGTGTAGAAATGATTTGTTCAAAGCACAGACATCAACACATGCTTCTTCACTACGGTGTCTACTACCAGTGATGTCCCTTTAAATGTTTACACATGCTGGAAGAGGTTTTTCATCGCAACGTTTCTGGCCATATAGTAGGCTCAGATGTTTAATTTCCAATCGAATTGAGATGTTCAGTCGACGAGCACCAGCCTTATCACTACCTGCATACGGTCTTTGTCTTTCTTTTTCTGAGTCTCATCAGTTGAGGCGAAGATATACATTCGAAGCGTAGAAAACGTTTCTCGCTAGGACAACACATATCTATGCAAAACTGGAGATACTATGTCACACCATCAGTAGTATCGTTCAAAACATGACTGTCAAATAGTTTCCAGTTTGCATACTGTAACATTCTTCTTAGTTGAAGTATGTCACTCTATGAATACTTTCCATGTACAACTTCATTATACCGATATGTGAAGGCTGTTTTGTGTAGTTTGACGTATATGTTAAGCAAACCGAGTATGGTGTGATGATCTGAGTTGAGTGGTGGGACTCTCTTGCGAGTTTCATATGTATCAGTTTCACTGACGAATACCAAGTCTAGTGTAGCGTCCTGACGT